AGGGCTAACCATGACGTCTCCAACGCTAACGTAAGCGTCCACAGACGTTCCATGAACCACCAGGGCTTCCTGAAACAATGGAAATCAGGACGGATAGAATCTGATGGTTGAATAACCTAAATATAAACTATAAATATCTTTACTGTTGAGCTATGTTTTTAGTCAATAATTTAGCAGCAGAAAGTTTGTTCCTTATTTTGTTGATATATGGTGAAATTAATTAAATACAGACCCTGCAATTAATTCCATCACTGAATTTATCAAATAATTTGGGGGTCAGAACAATTCTTGGAAAAATTAATACAGCAGACAATCATTTTTGGATGGAAAAAATGATCATACTAAATTCAAATCCATAACTACTTTATTGATCCCAAAGGGAAATGAAATAAATCGAAGAGCTCGATGGATGTGGGCAGTTTGTCCATCAATATTACGTCTTTCCTACATTCTGTCAGTTACATTTTCAGGCCATCATAATTTGGCACTTGCAGCTTATGGGAATTTATATGCACTGACAAGCTTTTAAATTACCTGCAGCAGAATTACAGGTTGGTAGGCGATCCCTAATAAACTCATAACAGCTGCGCAGAATGAAATAAAGAACAGTTCTGAATACAATTTGTTTGAGAGACTTATTAACTCGACCCGTTTTAGACGATTACTGTAATAAATCGCTGGCAAGCTTGTTGATCTCAGCGACTAATTTCTGCTCAGGAAAAGGTTATTTTAGGAGAGCTGAGTGATGAGCTGCTTGGCTCCGTCTGAAAAGATGCCTTTCCACCCCCTAATTCCCCTCAAATAATACCCGCCCGCCCCTCTGGAGAAACGCCTGTGAGTCACCGCCGGTGCACCTCCGCTCGTGGCCAACGATCCATCGCAGAGACAGTGCTGACTGGAATCATAATTTGCCATTTCCAGTGCGATGATAAGTTGAGCGAGAGGGAAGGGTAGGAGGGATTACAGAAACAATAAAAGACTGAGATGATGCAGGCATGTCTCTGGCAAATGAAATAGGAGGGGCTAATGGCTGATTAACTACTAATGATTCAAAGATTAGAATATTTCCAGACAAGCATCCGTCTGCATTGTTGCCCTCCCAGAAAAGCTCCAATAAGAGTGAAAAACAAGCTAATGAAGTTGTTTTTCAGGAAGCTGACACGCCTCAATGCAGAGCGGCAAAATGCTGTTGGAGCTTTTACAACCTGGCATCAAAGTCGATGACGTTCACAGGATCGTATTTATTGTGTCGATCATTTGCGTTCCTAAATTCAAGTGTTTTGTGAGTCTGTCTCTTTAAAGGCCCGATTTACTGAGAGAGAAACTTTGACCGTGTCAGATTGTTTAAGTCAGGTGGAATTTAAAGGAGCCGTTTCTGAACTCAGCCTTCTGCAGCATAACATCTAAGATAGGAACTTAGATGTTCGTGTCTTAGATGACACGAACATCTAAGTAGCGTCATCTACTGAGAGATGACGCTCTCTCAGTAGATGAGAGCGTCCTGTCCTGGTGGTGGGGTTTTCCTTTGTCACAATAAAACAAAACCCAGAAACGTCATAATCTATTTTTACCCGTCATTTGTTAAAGGGATGGTATTATGCATTTTCCAGACACATAGTGCCATTTTATAGCAAAATAAAGTAACTGTCACCTTCAGTTGTTGTAGAAAAATGCCATGCATATCAAATAGGACTTAAACAAATTACTTTGAAATTTAACGCCTTGGAATTGGGCCTCTGCCTTTTTAAAAACTCCTGCTCTTTCTGAAACTCCGCTGTGATGACTTCAGGAAGTCATCACAACATGGCTCCTCTTTTAACCCTTTAACAATGTTTTTACTAACATTTCACTGAGCAGTAGCTCCTATAATGAGCTCAGCAGATGCTCAGTTCCACCAGGTGTTTGCTAATTGCTGCTGGCTAGTCTGAAGGAGCTGAGTGGAGAAGTTGTGAGAAAGGGGTGACCTGTGAGGTGGAAGTTCTTAGGAGGAGGAGCTAGGTCAACCTGGCGTTTGGCAAAACTGAATGGTTGCCATGGAGATAAAAGGATTTCTCAGACAAGCATGAAGACAAAACTCCAGGTATGTTGTTGTTGAGGGAATAACTTAATACCATGATGTAAAGTTCAAAAAAGTTGATTTTATATAACACTGCCCCTTTAAATTGAAAATAATCACATTTTAATTGCAGATAATCCACAACGCCTCATCACACATCAAGCATATGAATACATGTAACTTTTTCTCCGCATTGACAAAATCTATAATGAAATTAAACACTTAAATTATAAAAATGGACGTAAACTGTGAACCCATTTGTGTGTAATGAAAATGTCTCCAGGTTCATATTGAGGCTGGATCCAAACTCTGGAGCCTGAATTGAGGGAACTTCTCTCAATCTGAAGCGATCAGAAGTCAGTAAGACTCTCTGAGTGAGAGAGGATTCGCTCCAAAGACTGCTGTCCATTATCAAACAGTCCATAACTCTTCAACGCGCTGTCAGCTCCAGAGAGCGAGACGCATGTAGTTCAGAGTTCAAGTCAGAGATGATACTCAAATGGGACATTTTTTATTATTATTATTGATGGATTTGGTTACCTAAGCGATGTATTCTGTGTGTAAAGTTGAAAATGTCTGCGCATCTGCAGCAAGTAGTCAAATCTGTGAAATGCAGTCTTTCAAAATGACTGATGGTCTTCAGGTTTTCCCATCATAGATTAAGAAAACCCAAAAAACAGCCAAAGATGGAAAATATAAAGTTAACGCGACCACTGGCTGCTCCGCTCACATCCCAGCCTGGAGCGCCTTTCTCCAGCCAACCCGGAGCTGACAGCCCTCCCCACCATGCTGGAGGTTTGGAAATGTTTTTCAGGTTTCATGCACAAAACAACCAATGGACAGGGAAGCTTGCCACCTCAAGCTAGCACAAGAAACTTTTTTGCAAAATCGAATCCGCTTTTTCAAATTTTGCCATTTTAATCAGAGATTTCTAATGTGACGCTTCAAAATTTACGTACAGAACTTTGATGGAAACAAATTGTCATGTAGACTGATGTTTTTATGTTTATGTATTTTAAAATTTGTGGCTGTAATGTGACAAAATGTCATCAATTTAGTAAAGCAATGTAGCTATGATTCTATCTCCACTAGGGATGCATGATAGTATCGGCATAGTATCAGTATCGGCCGTTATTAGCTGTAAAGTTTAATATCGGACATCGCCCATTCTGTCAAAATAAGTCACCGATATAAAAGGAATTGTTTTTATATGACAAACCAGTGACAGTGATGCCTACAGCACAGCACAATGTCAAATTTGCACTGTTTGAGTGTTGTCATTGTCTTAGAGAGCAGATGTCATGAATAAATTTGATGTTAAACTTAATACAAGTTGAAAGTGTTGCATCATTTTCAGCCTCCTTTTTAGCATTAGCATTTGGTAGCAGGCTAAACTGACAAAGATAATGCAGTATTTTAACTCCACAGTAGACAAAGTCATATAGTTTCATTAAGTAGGAAAACAATATCGGTATTGGTATCGGTTATCAGCCAAATGAGTTTCCGGACATTGACCAAAGATCCACTATCATGCATCCCTAATCTCCACACAACTTATATATATATATATATATATATATATATATATATATATATATAAAGAAACCATGAAAGAAACTGAATCAAAACCAATTGATAATATTTAAAGACGGTTTTCAAAAACAAAGGGACTTCAAACTGTATAAAATAGCTTGACATGTATGATACCGAGTGAAAAAGAGTAGGTGGTGCTGTTCTGTTTCTGGTAAAGTTGAAAAATTGATTGCTATCAAATCAATTTTGATATCAAAAAGCGAGATTTTAGAGAGAACTGCCAGAAAAGAACGAAAAAAAACCCCCCAACACTCTTGAATTCAGTCTTTACTGGAAAAAAGCGGCGTGACAGTTAAAGATCTGCAATAAGGAGGTTCTTGAACCAATATTAACTCTGCCTGACAGCCGGAAGACATTCTATTACATCTTCAATCAATCGTTACTAAAACATAACACTTAGGATGTACCGACCAGTTCTGAGAAAGAGACCAAGTACTTCTGGAATGAAGGTATTGAAAGTGAAGAGGGCGGAATAGATGGACAACATGAGGGCAGTCCACAAGTGTAACCAGTCTAAATGGACTCCAGGAATGTTCTCAGAAATACTGGCGGTTAAAAAGCAATCATCTGTGTGGAAGTTTAATTTGGGAAGTAACAAGACTTTTCAGCCACGTAATGATGAGCGGACAAACTCAAACCGCAACAGGAAAAAAGGAAGACTTTGAAGTAACTATCCTAGTTTTCTAAACTCTAGAGGGACTGTGGGCCTACAAATGCTCCTTTTTGTTGCCTTGCCAACATGCAATTGAACAGGTGTGCCTAATAAAGTGGCTGGTCCAGGGAGTCGCTTGTTTTAAGGAGAAAACGCTGCGGTAGCATTTTAAACTTTTAAATGTCATTGTGTTTTCCAGCAAACAACCTGATCGAAGTCATTTAACATTTGATATCTGACCAGCTGCAGTTTGATATTTAGAGGCTGCAGCTGGACAGCTAACTCAGAGCTAATGTTTGTGTTAATGGACACAGCTGAGTGTTGATCAGTGCTTTGATTTTATCATGACTGACCTATCGAATAGGGAAACAGTGTAGCTATACATGTTTCCAGAAGCCTTCAGAGGTCGACCTTTGATGACCTCAGGAAACAATTATTAATGTGTTTAAGATCATCATCTTAATGAAATAGTGGCCTAAATAATTTTTCCAAAATAATAATGACTTAAGCTATTATTTAAGGAAAGTGATGAAATGTTAGCGGCACAAAGGAAAATTTTTACTGCACAAATGTAGCACAATTGATTGAAGTGATATTTCGTTTTGATTTTGCAGATGTGCACTGGCTGGTTGACCTTTGATGACCTCTGGAAACATTAAGTAATATGTTTGCAGGTTTCCACATAAACTTGCAGCTCACCTCTGACACTCGCTGGGATGCAGCACCAGGTCCTCGCTGTTCTTGGCGCTGACTGTGAGCTCGTGTTCCGTCGGGTTGAAGATGTCGAGCAGAAGGTGGCACTGCCGGGTGCTGCGGGCACAGACAGGAACACTTCAGCCAAAAAAGCCGATACGATGCATCGAATTCAACACAACTTTTACATGACCCCCGTCTGCCCCCCAACCAACAAAAAAAACATGACTGGCCAGTCCTTGGACTGTGTTTATGCGTCTGGTTCTAATTACTTTGCTAAAAATAAACAGCAGCGTGGCACACAGCGGGTCGGTGAGATCAAGAGAAGACGGAGTGTAAAGTACTCTCAGTGCTTGTCAGAACATCAAAGGTGGCCGTGCTTTCATTAAATTTGAAGACCTATGTGGAGCAGGTCATCTGCGCATCATCCCGCGCCTGCTTTTCTCATGTAGATCACAAGAGGAGCAATTTGTGATTCAGATCAACATGTTGAGTGTTCAAAGAGTTAATTTTAGCCCCCAAAGTAGGTGGATGAAAGGCCCGCGTGTCTGGAAACAGAACCAGGTAACAAAATTAAGTGCTGCTTCACAGGAATAATGACTGGAGCAGGAAAGGGCTACGGTTAGGGTTTTATGAAGAACAATAAAAAGTGTTTCATGATCTGGGCTGGGATTTCTTATGAAACTTTTTGAACATACAGTAAATTCATAAACCCAGATAAAGAGTGAGTAATGTGTAGCATGGCAAAGATTTTCATTGCTGCAAAAACAGCAGCTTGTGCTACAACAGTTCTTCACATTAGACAAGAGTCGCCTCAGAAATGCTGGAACTTAGGAGAGAAAACTGAAGTCATCTAGAGATAAAGTTCCATCAACTTCATTTAGAAAAGTCATGAACATTAGGCCTGGGCGACAAACCGAAAACGTAACCAACACCAGAATTTTTTGGTGATGACCAACATCATTTTTTTCCCATGTCGGGATTCTGGGTGTTTAAAAGACAAATGAAAATTAAAGTTGTTTTTGTCCTCTTTTTGGCTGTGTGTAGGTAGACTATGCTCATGTTCCTTTAAGACGCTGTGTTGTGCGTACAGCCCGTAGCAAGAAGTAAAAGATGGTGAGGTTGAGAAAATTTTAATAGTTGAAGCGTCGGCAGGTCGAAGAGGAACAGCTCATTCTGAAGAGGATTTTTAAAAATGCAAGGATGTTGGAAGGAAGTTATTTTATACTTCTAAACTTGTTCAGTTGTGCTTATTTGTTTAATAACTCTTAAATAAAACTAAAAGTACAGACTTTCTTAATTTATTTGCAGATGCTATAGTTTTAAAGTCCATTAAAGTTCATAAAAATAATTGTCCAGGGGAATTATAGCCTCAATATAACTGGCTGGGAAGTATTTATGCTGCCCTATCATATTTTTCTTAACTTATTTATGTAGGAAAGAGGGGCAGGGTTCAGTATTATTACCATTTATTGTCATTACCCCAATTTTTAGTCGGTTGAGACACTCAGAACGGCTCTGCTGTCAGCAGGCCCATTCCAGAAGATTGTCAAAATCAGAGACATCCTGTCCAGGAGAGATGCTGGAAAACTAGTCATTTGTTACTTGAAGTCAGGACTACAGCAATTCTTTCATGGAGGAGGATTAGGGCCACTAAAAAAAGAAAATAATAATTCTGACTTCTGTCTAATAATTCTGATTTTAATATCTAAAGATTAAAGTCAGATTTTTGAAGGGGTGGAGGGGGGGAGTCAGAATTCTTTGAAAAAAAAAAGTCAGAATTTTTAAAGAAAAATCTGAATTCTTAGTGGGGAAAAAAATCAAAACAAATAGAAACAACCAGGATGTTATGTTCAAGGTGTTAGACATTGTTAGACATTGTGCTATCTCCCATCAGGAAGTTCATAAAATGCTGTTTAAAACCCTCAGCTGATCCCAAACACCTGCAGCAGGAGTTTTGATGAAAATGAAAAAGAGAAATCGTATTTCTTCTATGTTAGCTTCCCTTCATCAGCTCCCTGTTAAATCCAAAGAAACATTTAAGATTCTGCTTCTCACATATAAAGCCAGATCTTTTAGTTACCAGGTTTCTCTCAAGAGGAACCAGTTTAGTTTTGAGGTAGATGCCTCGTCTAATTTTCACACTCTGCTTAAAAATATCCATTTTGATAAAGCTGATAAAGCTGTTAAAAAACAGAACAATATTTTCCTAACTGTTGGATGTGAGGGGAGTAAAGGGAGGATTGCACTCTGAAAACTGTTAACACAGAAAATGTCCAACACAAATTTTAAGAGTAGTGCTGCAGAGATTCATTTCTCTGTTTCACTGCTGTCAGCTTAAAACAGGAAAGCTCACATTTGATCACCTCAGTAAGTGAATTAGCAAAACAAAGCAGGCTGCTGCTATCACTCAGTTTGTGATCGGCACCCTGGGCAACCCATTTCGCTCTACACACAGAACTTCAGTATGAGAGCGTCAACCTCCAATAAAGTTAAAGTAGGGTTTTATATATGTTCCCTACCATGTTCTGCTGCTGCCTGTGAAGGGTTCTGACCAGCTGTACAGTCCAAGAGCTTTACTGTCTGATAAGTAGTGGACGGTGGAGTTGATCAAAGACGGTTTTTCAAATCGACCTCTTTGTGCCTTTCTCCCAATAACGGTCTGCTGCTTTATCCTTTGCCCACGGCTCAGGCTCTGTCTGAAGTTCAGTGGACATCTTGTTTTCAACGACCTTTTCAGGCTTTCTCTCATTAGTCAGACCTTCCTCACCATTGGCCACTCACAGCGGGAACTTTTCTGAGAGATGTTTGCTCTCACCGGGGAACACTCCTCAGCTTTGGGAAAAGGAAGAGAGCTAAAAAGCTACACTGCGGAGACAGCGCTGCATGTTTTTTTCTCCCTTCCTATGTTAATTGGTAAACACCTTTTTGCTAATACGCACACTACATGCAGGTCCAAAACGGAAGAAATATGGAAATCGTACAACAAAGCTGTTTTCAGCACTTTCATTAGGTCTGGAAACATTTCTGCTGTATTCACAGTTATTTTGCAGAAATCTGACCAAATTTGCTTCCTATACTTTGGTAGTCAATAAGAAGTCCGGAATATGTTTACATTTCTATTCTCAAATGAAGCTCTATGCATGTCACACACTGTGATGGTGCTGCAAAAATAATGTAGCCAACAAGACATTTTAAAACCTTTATCATTTTATACTGTAGAGGTACTGATGTCAAACTTTTAATCATATAAAACACACACACACACAAAAATCACAACCAAAATGTGGGGCAACCTGTGATGTAGCGTAACAGAGGAGGAGCTACATGCAGAGGCTAACGGCCCTCAACGGAAGCTTTGCTGTATTTTTTCCTCCCTGCTTTCTTTCTGCCCAAGTCTAATGAAGGTCACTAAAGTTATAAAGTCTAAATAAAAAAAACAACTTTAACATGATCAAATTGGGGGGGGTTTTCACAGAGAAGAACAAAACTAAATTGTGAGTGGTGCTAAAATAGCATGACCAACAGATTCTTACACTTATAGTCATGTCAGCTACAACTTTCATTTATTATTCTGTTTTCAATACATTTGACCCATAATAACTGGAATATTGACCAACATATTGCATGAGTATTGATTATTTTAATTATGGCACCATGTTTTAATGATGTATAGAACTTTGAACTGCTTTGTTACTGAAATGTTTCATACAAATAAACTTGATTGATCGATTTTTGACAAAAAAAAAAAGATTGGTGGTTTTAAAACAGTTTTATAAACCCTTAAAACTAGGGGCGCATCGATTTATCAGCCAGCCAATTTATCGGTGCCAATTTTCTTGATTTTGGGAGATCGGTGATCGGCAGATTTTTACATGTGAAGCCGATCTCATTCACCGATCTTATCTAGCTTGGCAAAGGTCTCGGAATCAACCACTGCTCTCTTTTGCTCTCTGGTGAGAAAGGTTTGACAGACAGACCGGCCCTCCAAGTTATGTCTCCACGTTTACAATTAACAATAGTGACCTCAATGTTACCAACTCAACACCTTTCTTGCTATATTAAGCAACATTTCAAATGAAAAAAATTGGCATTGGCCAAAATCAGAATCAGCAGGTTAAGCTTTTTAAAAGATCGGTAATTGGCGATCAGCCAGAAAATTGCAATCAGTTCACCCTTAAAACATATTTTAACACTGTTAACTGGCCTGAATCAAGTCAAAAATAAGCTCCAGTATCAACATTAAAGTGATCAGTGAACTAAAAAGCAGCAGCTGGGAAAAGTGAAATCAAATGTTTCCTTCGTCCGTTGATCTCTTTCCTAACAAGCTCCTAAACCTTGGGGTTGCTGGTTTTAGCATGCACAAACCTCTAATAAACTGCTTCAGCAATTAAAAGAGCATATCATTAAAGGGCTGCGCGCGTTTTCCGAGCCATCTTGGTGACTTTGTCGAAAGGCCTGATTAACGGGCGAGAACGGGGCGAGCTGCTAATTTATTGTCTGGGCAGTTTAGTAGAGGCGATCAATCAGAGCACAAAGTTAGGAAACAGGGCATCATTACTCATGCGTCGAGTCCCCGAGATAAACTGAAGGAGCAGACAGAGAAACTGGACCTGGGCATTACAGACTGCACTGTTTTTGATAAGGGTTTTAAATTAAAAAGACCTTAATGAGGTCAAATTAGGCTGAAAGGAGAGTGAAGTTCAGAACTGCAGCAGAGAGGCCAGAGATGAAAGCTCACTGCGCCGTTCGAGTCGGTATTAACCGAATCATGGCACTGAATCATTTTGATAAGTATTCTATCTGGCTACAAAGCAAGGCAGAGATCTAAGCTAACTAAATAATTCAAAACCGCCAATAGCGCTTCACACTATTTGTCTCCATTACGGCCTCAACTTTTACATTACTCTCTGATAACGGAGAGAGGCGGAGAAGGAGCCAAATTGTCCCCAGCGTCTTCAGCAGAACACATATTGAAGCAGATTTTATGATCGTTCAGTGCAATAGCAAAACATCCATCAATGATATATCAGTACCTAATGTACCTCAAATGAAGCTCTGAATATTAGACACTCCGTCCCGTTTAGGTATGAACATCTGACAAGCTCAATGTTCAATAGTTAATCAAACAAAAGTATTTCTACCTCTATTCCGATTGTGGTCTGGGTCTACACAGCAAATCGATGGGAATCAATCAGACTGTGCTGTCAAAAGTGGGTGGACATTAGCTTCAGGATTACATTGTTAAAGGGCCATAAATATCTGACGCACCAGTTGAGTTTCTAAAAATAGCAACGTTGATGAGTCCTAGGCCCACGCCTCGATCAATTCTGCAAAACATGATCGATAAGTGCTGATTTTGCAACCCGACCACGGCACAATAACACATTGACGTATTCCCAACGCGCAAAATGCTTTGGGCTTAATCAGCAGTGGAGGATTAAGGGTGCTGCCAATGACGGGGACATTTTTAGCCTCCGAAGCCAATGTTGGACGGATCATTATGCATCTGGGTGTAACGTCAAAGATGGAGCCTTAAGGCTAAGCAAACTGTAAACATTGATCTAAAACTAAAACAAAGGAAATGACAGACAACATTCTGGAACTTTTAGCTACATAATGTCTGCTGTTTAAAAAGCACCAACACACTATTTGTAAAATCTAAATCATCAAAATTCATTGACAAAGTGAAACTACAGACAGACAAAGCCATATATGAACAACTTTGAGCAAATAAAAAAATTATGGAGGGAAATCACGGTTAAAAATATGCAAATTCAAAACCATTTGTGAATTAGTAAGTGGAGTCAAACTGTGGAATATTAACTTGGACAATGACTGAACATAAAACCGTTCAAATGATCATATATACAGATGATTATAGTGGGATATAATGTATTATATTACTGCTCAATTATTGTTGGTGTTTTTGTTATTGATGCTAGTGTTTCTTTTTGGTCAATTTAAAAAGGAAATTATTCATCCACTGCAGTGAAAATTAAATAGATACTATATTGATGGGTTAACTATTAAATACAGGTTCAGTTGTCATATGTATAGATTATACATGTAATAAATATGAAATTATGTAGGTGGCTAGGGAATGTTACGTACACCCACTCAGCTGAATTTGTCGGTCAATAATAAAACACTGAAGCAGAAAAAATGAAACATTTATTAGAGAAACCCGATGTTGTCATATTTCCTACTTAAAACCTGGAACAGTTCTGTCTTGAAAGCCACTGATGTGAGTTAAACTGGTCGTTTATCTCTTCATCCCTTAATTCTGTAGTACTTAGAGTAGCATTCAATGATCAGACGAGCGATATAAAAACTGAAGCTGCAGCAAGATCGTTGCATATAAAATGTTGCTGCTGCAATTCACGTTCGATGTTTTTACACCGACACCTGTGTTCAGTGCTGCAAATGCCTCTGTAATTGGTTTAGAGCCGGATACATAAAGCACTCTGTAATTGCAAAAACAGATTGCGGGGATGCAGGGGGAAAAGATTAAGACTGAATTTTACCTTTGCAGCTGATGCACATGAATGTTTTTTTCGTTCAGATGTTTCTGTCACACACAAGCCGGCCGTCTGGCTGAGGGGAGGCGGGAATACGTAAAAAAAAAAAAAAAAAACCCACAAGGACAGCCTGCTCACCCAAAGCAAAAACACTGTTTTACTGAAATAAACCAAAGTAACTGTTAATAGAAAAGCTGCAGAGCAAAAGTCTTGAGTCATCACCAAATAAACAAGACAATGGGGTTTTCAAGCAAAGGGCATAATCTGGATTAATAACAACCTGCACAGTAAATCTGCATGTGGTGTTGCACTTTGATAGCAACATTTAATCTTGGATTTTCATCTCGAGGCCAATACTGGGGTAACATTTGAAATGCACTGCTTTCAGATGGAATTAAAAAGAGGGAAGTAGGAGAGCCCACCACTATGCACAAATAGTCAGTCAAACTGGAAAAAAAAAAAAAAAAGACTTTCTTCCGAATGTTCTCATTGTTTTCTGGCCGTAACAACATCACAAATCAGGATCAGCATGAAAGGAATTGTGGTCCTTATAGCACTCTATAATAAGTAGGGATGCACAATATTGGGTCTTTGGTCGATATACGATACCAACAACCGATAATCAATACCCGATACTGATATTTATCCAAGGCTTGTAGAATGGACCATTGGTGAGTTGGTTTTTTTTCTCAGTTGAGTTCAGTTCACTTTATTTTTGTAAATTATCAACATTAAACACAGGAAACAAAAACAATAATAATAAACAAACCCATAATTTACCAAAAAAGGAATAGGCTGAAGCCAAAGCTTATACTTGCCAACCCTGTTCATGTACTTAGCAGCCTACAGTCATAAAAGATATCTTCTGTCCATATAGATATACATACGCAAGTACTCTGCAGTTCTTCACTCTCTCGCTCTCACCTTTGGCCACCATGAACTCATTGCTATGGTCGTAATGGTGGTTCTTGAGATGGTTAATGAGGTTCGAAGTGCTGCAGGACTTTGTTGTTGTTCCTCCTCACATCACAAAACATCAGCAAATAGTAGTTATTTTACAAGTTTCCGACACTTAAACAATGCTGACATTTTCAATTGGTCCTGCTCTCCCGCCGTGATCAGATTAGGTCAACATCATGTGATGGATGTCATGACATCGCATGCATATAATGATGCTGCAGGCATCATTATCATTGGTTTCTCATTTAAAAACAACGAGTGAGTTATTTTGATGGAATAGCTATTGTCCAATATTAAGTTTTACAGCTAATATCGGCCGATATTCATACCATGCCAATAATATTGTGCGTCCCTAATAATAAGGATCATATTATCCAAAGCTGAAATATTGCAAACAGTCACATGGTTGCGGATTGTCGTATTCCAAGACAAATTGAAATTGAAAGTGAAAGTGAAATTGGGTACGACTCAACAGCCAGGCTAGTTTATCACACAAAATCCCAATGAAATTTGGTGGAGCTTTGGGCTGTAATGTGAAAATATTTACACACTAAACATGCCCTTGCAAGGTGGTAAAGTTAAAATCCCTTTTACTTTACAGATTCTTGATTCTCCAGGGCTTTCTGCAGCTACACCAGATAGAGAAGTCTGTCCCAAAGCCAAGTACATTCTGAAATGTTGTTTACTGCCACAGATTTTTGGAGAAGTTTGTCCTCATATAGGTCAGTGCATGTCAAGGACCTCTTGCTGTGGGTCTGTAAAGCCCAGAGAGTCACTCTAGACATGGTACCGAGAAAATACAAAGTTTGTTCGACTCGGGAAGAGTTCTGGAAATCTGCAGGTAGTCTGCCCAAATCTCCCTGAAGCCTTACTTTCAACACGTCTGAAATGTTTTGAGCTTTGGCTGAGCGCCAACAGATACTGTGTGTCAAAGTAGTGAGGCAGAAAATACCAGGCGAGCATAGGAGGTGAGGGAGACGCAATGACAGGGGTGACGGTACAGCGGGCAGAGCGGCATAACTATTAGTGCCGAGTCAAGACGGATGACTCAAACTTCAGATATTATTTTGGCTAATGACTCACCTCAAGAGGCCGTTACTCGCCCATGATCCGTCTCTTTTTCTTCCAGGTTTTTCATAAAAGTCGGGGAGTTTAGAAGATGAGTAAAGCCAGGAAAAATACAAGTGTGAACCGATAGGATCTCTACAGCTGCACAGGGTAAACATTGAATGTTTTAAGGCCCTTTTATAGTTTGTAGCATGAAGTATGTTTGAGACTTATCTCAAAATCCTTTTGACATTCCTTCTCACTAATCAGAACAAGAAAATAGCCATGACAATATAAAAACAATCTGACGTTCTTCCAAAAACGGATAAGTCTGAGATCATTGTAGACGTAGCGTTGCTGAAACACGATAGATGCTAATAGACAGAAGACCGCCATGCTAAGACTCTTAATTATGTCCAAGTTTCAACCACCTGATCCATACAGTCACACTCATGTGAAAGAAACGTATTTATGATGTTGAGAAATAAACACAGAACCTGGAACCTAGAAGCTGGAACACCAATGACTCAAAGAGAAGTGAGTTTAACATTTACTTGGATTAAGAGTCTAAACCCAGAAAGAAGTCCCTCCTGTAAAACATTAAAGATTAATTGTAATTTACAGCTACCAACATGGAGAAACACAGAACATGTTATTGTTAGAACAGATAGTGATTGAGCTGATATGGGAAAAGGGTCAAAGGTCTTTGCTATGGGTATTGATGCATTGCCCAACTTAACTACACAGTAAGAAGGGTGAAACTGGGACACATCAGGGTCCCCAATATGCATCAAAGCTGCTTTTGGAAAATCTAGATGAAACGTCAGATTTGTGTCGATAAAGTATTTTTTGAAAAACAGGAAACAGAGTTTTAAGGTATCTATAACAAGTTCCTCAGTGAAGATTTCACCCTCCAGTATTTATGTGTGCAGCGAAATTGACGCTGACATATTAACACAACTCTAATATGACCTATAACATCAAATGTGCCATATGCGTTACCCATAACAACAGCAGCTGATTACATGCTTGTCTTGTAAACTCATTAGTTTGATAATCCAACGTGACAAGGAGAAGAAGCTCAACTTTGTCATGACTCCGTACAAAAGACTTCACTCTCACTTTGTTGTTCATCAACAAAGTGAACAAAGCTGTATGGAGGCTCTATGTGCATGTCCCATTCTCTAAACTTAGCCCCACCTACAGCCCTGGGGGAGTAATAGCAACGTGTTGGAGCCATTTTCGGTTTTCATGTGGAAACAGAAAATACAACATGGTTCATGTGTGTGTTACCTGGTAGCAGGAAGGGTGCTAACTCTGGTAAAAAACACAGACGGCTCCACGTCTACATGGACGCCCAGAGACATCTCCCTGTAGTAGCCCTCCACTTTGCCCGCTCCACCGGAGTACCTGAAGTTCAGCACCGCCTCCAAAGTCTGCAACAGAACACAGGAAGGAGAAGGAAGTTACATCAGGGCTGATGTGGAACCGCATGAGCAGCTCATTAAAGCAACAGGCTGCGGTCAGAGGTCCTGCGCAGCGTGTTGCTACTCGCCGTTCAATCTACACAAAGTTTGCTCCACGATAGGAGCCATCAAGGCGGAAATAATAAATGCACCGCAAGGCTGCTATTGTGCTGCTTAATGAAATGGAAGTATAATGATGGGAAATGGACGATTCGGAATCCTAAAAGGGTTTAAAAGGGAGAGGGGTGGCAGCTGGGTGGCCTAGGTGAGATTGTTCTGGCTGCGTTCCACCATAATGGGGGGAAAATGGACAAGGGGGATCACTCAGCGGCACTCCGAGGCGTTTCCATGGAGAGGAGGCAGGGATGGAAGAAGGGGGGAATGTCATGAGCAGCCAAATGGGCAAAGTACAGGGGTGGGGGCAAATTAGAAGTGGCAGTTTATGCTGAGGAACACTAGCTGACTCAGGGAAGGAGATGTTCAGCTTTTCTTCCAGCGCAGTGTATATCATCTCCACACATTCCGCTGATGGAGGCTCTGGCTGTGGCTTCCCACAACACACTTCACCTATTTCCTGATTGTTTTTACTCTCTAACTGCTTCTTCAAGGGAGGCGGGAGCCAAGGTGAAGCGACTCTGAGCCTGCTGGGCGTACGGCCGATTACAACATAATGGACGGAGCACAGCACTCTGACAGCCACATCACAGAGAAGTTATTATTACTGTCAACCAAGCAACTCTATTCTAAAAAGTCACTTATTTGTAAGTGAAAAGCTTTATTTCACATTCTGTGCGTGTGCGTATGCGTGTGTGTGTGTGTGTGTGTTTTGTTTTTTTAACTTGCTCTGATATTTGAAAGTGCCATCCAGGGACACGCCTGTGATCTTTCCACCAGCACCGAGACGAGGTTGATATTTTTGGCATTTAGTAAAATGTCTCAGAGTATCTCCTATAATGACCTGAAATTTGACACAGAGACGCTAAAGGCCACGAAGAAGAATTCAATACATTTGAAGATTTGTTACAGTCAAGAGGAAACCAGAGATTCCCATCAGATTTTTCTCCGCAATAAAAGAATAAATCAAGAAGTCTAATACAACCTCGAATTCATTGAAGTTGGAATGTTGTGTAAGACAAATAAAAATGGAATAGGACGATCCGCAAAAGACAAAGATACTTAATGATTAAACTCAAGTGGAATTTGATTTCTGCAACATGCTGCAGGTTCCCTCCTGGACCTGCTGACCCCGTGACCCCATCTAAGACAAACGGAAGACATCACTGGTCAACAGCCAAAAAAATTGTCTGGGTTTTTCCTCGATGTTCAACTGAAGTCCTAAAAGGGTTTAAATGTTTTTATCTTTTTTAATCTTTTTTTTTTTTTTTTTTACAAAATCTCTCTCTTTCTCACTGTTTATTCCATGTCACATGCTGTTTTTATTTTAATTAGGTAAAGCACTTTGAAATGCCTTGCTGCTGAAATGTGCTATACAAATGCACATTCAGCTCATGTTGATGAAACGCATCTGGTTTCTCTTGCCAAGTCTATGGGCTTCATCATCCATTAATTCAAATGTCAAATTTTAGCATGAGAGAGTATCTGTAGAATTGTCAATCTGTGTGGAACTGAGAAACAATAAATTCAAACTTATGTGTCCAATTCTTGAACTTGTATGTTGCATAATCATGTTGATGAGCTGAATCCAAAAATCACATTGGTTTTGCTCAATCAGGTCAACTTTCTGAACTACGGAGCAACATGAGCATCAAAATGCAGGAGTTGTTCTCACATCTGGATCAGTTTCCTGAGGATCTGATCAATGAGTGAAGAGCAGCAGGAGAGAGAAGAGACGGAGAATTTTACACAGTGAAGATGTGATATTCAATCTATATGTTTACCACCATCAGTGTTTATTATACAATTTACAGAAATCCAAGTTTGTAGCATTTAATTAATACACTAAAAGCTTTTTCTCCTAAAAGCTTTTTATTGGATGATAAATATTAACAGAAATGAACTGATGATGTCACAAAATGTGATCAGCTGTAGTCAGAAGATCTGATTTCTCTAAATCAAATTAAAATAAAAACCTGACCTGATTGAGAGAAATGGATGTTATTTTTGGATTCAGCGGCACAAAATAACCCTAATTCAGTTGAAAAAACAATGAAAAAACATCCAAAAAAATTTTTTTTGAAACCCAGTACAATGGATGGATGGATATGAATCAACATTTATGATATCATGCGACTTGGAAACATAAAAATGTCGTTCTGAAACATTGCCAAATTCATGTGAACACAGAGCCTAAACGACCAACAAAACTTTTGCGCACACGCCTAAAATCGTCTGTGTGGACAAGGAAAAACTTACTGCAACATTAATATATATGGTTATGAAAACTAATGTATACTGCTGTTTTTTTGCCTCTTGTTTTCATTATATCAGATACATTCGGTCACCCTGCAAGCGGGCTACGATTAGTGTGTGCACACAACATCCATAGAAGGAGCTGCAATGAGTAACAGCAGCAAGAGAACTTCTTATCTCAGCCACGTTGCTCCCCAACAGCAGCAGAGGTCCTGCTGTTTGCGTCGCTGTCAGAAGCTGGAGGTTCTGCTTTTTTAATGCCTTTTGCTTCTTTAAACTCTGTGAGACACAAGAACACAGAACCCTCCTACAAGGCGTCAGGATTATACCAGGGTAGAGGATGTCAGAACCGTTGGGAGATCTTGTTTTTCCAGAAGCAAAATCTCTTCAGTCAGACAAAAAAAAAAAAAAGCTTGATAAATAATACCAACAGAGAAACAATCAAGGAAACCTGCGACTTAACAGCTACTGGTACAACAAGGTTTACTGTCATAAAGTGACAACAGGTGTTGTGGGAAACACCAGTGAATCAAAGTTGCTGGTTGCAATGGGAAGTTGAAGACACAAATTCCCACTCTAAACATTTGCAGATCCTGGAGGGAAGCAGTGGAGTCAGTCTGCGACAGCTGCCCTCCACAGCGGCGGAGAAACGAACTCATGCTGGGCTGGAGGCAGAATGAAAGCAACGGCATGTTGATTCCAGCCTCATTTCAACAGACTGGCTTAATTCTCACCGACTGTTAGCAAAAACAAAAACACAAGACGCCTGCTGGATGAGTGCGTCTCCTCTGCAGCAGTGTTTTCTGCTGCTGAGGCCGTTGACATGTCGTATCATAAACGTGGATTCGATTTTCCTTCGGACTCCGCCGGCGCTGTGCGGTTGCCGGTGTGGAAGTGAAATCTTAAAACGTGTTCCCCCTCGAGGAATCATCTCGGCAACGCCGTCACATGCCACAGGCGTGCCTGATTCCTCCGCCAGAGCCGGAGCCGGAGCGGCCCCTATTTTCGATCCACACCCCCCCACCCACCTCTGTGGCTCCTCCGCCCCTCAGGAGCCTTTTTCAATCACACCCAGCTAAAAATAGCTCCTGCTGTAATGAGCTGGCACTGCTTGGAGTAAGCTGGAGGAAAACAGCACCTGACCACACACATCTATTATCCTCACACAAAAAAAAAAAGTGTGTGCAGGACTTTAGCGGTTTATCATGTTGTCTGTTCTTTACCATGTTAATTCAGTTCATTTAAATACAAAGTCTTCTTCAAATGTTCCACAAAGACTAGCTCCTCAAAACTGCCTCTAGTTATTCATCAATCACCAGAGGATGTTTGGTGCACATGTGAGTTTTACAGCATAACAGGAAGAATGTGAAACTCAACAGGCTCCATATACAGTGAAATGTATAAATTCATAACAGATGTTACTCATTCCAAAGGGTCGGACATTTTGGCTTCACAAGACAACTTCTCAGTTTTATTCTACCCAGGGCTAAAGTAAGCCTGTCACAATAAGCAATTAATCATCAATTGCATGACGAATAAAAATGAGCTCAATAATTTTCATTCTGATGATTAATATTTGTTGGAAGGCAATTTTGTTTAGAGACTTCCTAATCCTTTTTATTTATCGTTTTTTGGATGTTTAAAAAAATCTCTTTCAGTTCCAGTGTGAAGTGTTATGTTGAAAATTAAAGTTTATTAAAGTCTTTGCAAGAGCAGACTTGCGTTATTATATATTATATTATCTTCATTGAAAATGGTCTCAAAAACGACAATGTTATTGTGTATTGCAATAATTTGGCAATTTATCATCCAGCATACTTTGAAGTATGCATACTTTACTATTACATGTACAATGTATGATAATGGCAATATGGTTTGTTAAATCAGAATACCTAACGTTGCCTTTGCCTTAAACTCCAAAGATAGGGGTAACTCTTTTATAAGTTCAATATTGTTTGTGTCAACACCGAACTTGGAAGCTCAGAGGACTTCAAACACCAGTGATACCTTGGCCCTCAAAAAAGAAAACACAGAAGACCAAAATAAGTCTCCATAGCTCGATCACCATAGCTAGAATAGCAACCACTTTAGATGGACTCCATCAACTCTGCCAAGAGGAGTGGTCAAATGCACAGAATTAATCCAGAAGCTTGTTAGCGGCTATAAAACACATCTGGTTTCTCTTGCCAAGTCTATGGGCTTCATCATCTATCAATTCAAATGTCAAATTTTAGCATGAGAGAGTATCTGTAGAATTGTCAATCTGTGTGGAACTGAGAAAATACACAGTAAATTCAAACTTATGTGTCCAATTCTTGAACTTGTATGTTGCATAATCATTCCATAATTTCAAAAGATGGATCAAATAAAGTCCTAGAAGTCCCATAACTGTATGATGTGCGATCTGCTTATGTATGGATGTAAACCTGGAGAAATACACACAGCTTAGGTGTTTTAAATGCCTACAAGTAACAACAGGTGCTAATGGAAAAACCTTTTTTCGAGGCTTTTCTGAGACCTGACATGTGAAACACGGTGGCCTTTACCTCAAATGCCACAGCCCATTATTGTCATTTTTCACGACCGTCTCAAGAATGTCACAAAAGGCTGTCTATCACATTTCCCCGC